GGAGAGAGGTAGATGAGCAATAGTAGTAAAAGTAGCAGTAGTAGTAGTAGTAGAAGAAGTAGTAGCAGTAGAACAGTAGATATAAGAAAATGAGATAAAGTAGAAAGGTAAAGAAAACATGAAGATAAAACTAACGGAAAAGATCAAAACAAAAAAATATGGGAAGGGAGATAAGCAAGAAAAGGGGCAAAAGGGAAAAGCACCCAACATGGAAAAGAGGAAATGGGAAAAAAACAAAGGGGCCGGGGGAGGGGGAGGACATTTCAATGATCGACAAAGGGTTTCACGTTCCCCGGACGTGCAATGGTTCCCTAATGGTCACCACGTCGCTACCATTAACCCATCGGAGGCAAGATGGCGGAACAGAGGAGGTGATACAGCTGATGGGGAGCCAAACGGCGTGTGTGTGTGTGTGTACTCACCTAGTTGTGTTTGCGGGGGTTGAGCTCTGGCTCTTTGGTCCCGCCTCTCAACCGTCAATCAACAGGTGTACAGATTCCTGAGCCTATCGGGCTCTGTCATATCTACACTTGAAACTGTGTATGGAGTCAGCCTCCACCATATCACCCCCTAATGCATTCCATTTGTCAACCACTCTGACACTAAAAAAGTTCTTTCTAATATCTCTGTGGCTCATTTGGGCACTCAGTTTCCCCTGTGTCCCCTTGTGCGTGTTCCCCTTGTGTTAAATAGACTGTCTTTATCTACCCTATCAATCCCCTTCAGAATCTTGAATGTGGTGATCATGTCCCCCCTAACTCTTCTGTCTTCCAGCGAAGTGAGGTTTAATTCCCGTAGTCTCTCCTCGTAGCTCATACCTCTCAGCTCGGGTACTAGTCTGGTGGCAAACCTTTGAACCTTTTCCAGTTTAGTCTTATCCTTGACTAGATATGGACTCCATGCTGGGGCTGCATACTCCAGGATTGGCCTGACATATGTGGTATACAAAGTTCTGAATGATTCTTTACACAAGTTTCTGAATGCCGTTCGTATGTTGGCCAGCCTGGCATATGCCGCTGATGTTATCCGCTTGATATGTGCTGCAGGAGACAGGTCTGGCGTTACAAAGGTGTGTGTGTGTGTGTGTGTGTGTGTGTGTGTGTGTGTGTGTGTGTGTGTGTATATGTGTGTGTGTGTGTATATATGTGTGTGTGTGTGTGTGTGTGTGTGTGTGTGTGTGTGTGTGTGTGTGTGTGTGTGTGTGTGTGTGTGTGTGTGTGTGTGTGTGTGTGTGTGTGTGTGTGTGTGTGTGTGTGTGTGTGTGTGTAAGAAGGATTTGCTGCTAGAACTTCCGTTTTAAACACACAGGTGTTACACAAAGGTAGTAAACAGTTACACAAAGGTGGTATAGAAGAGGTAGTTTTGTTCGCTAACGGCTTCGTACGTTACTAATGTTCGTTAGCATCTCGCATTCTAATCTTCTTGGGACGTGGGTAGGTAATTACACGAGATTGGAGTTAATTTCTCTGTTTCCTGGAAATTGTAATTCATTCTGGGGTGGCTTAGCCTGTCTGTCTCTTGCCTCCTTGTCCATGATAGGGATGTGGGTGTGTATGGGCGTGTGGGCGTGATATGGGCGTGTGTGTGTGGGGGGGGTTGTGTGTGGGCGTGAATTCCCCTGTGTGTATGACGGCTGTGTGTATATCTGCATGTATTCATACGGTTTTCGGATTGTGTGTGAATTTATTGCTATGAATTAATACATTAAATATTCTTGTATGAACGTATGTATATATGTGAACGCCTGGGTGCCAGGATTCGTGTATATATCCATATATGTATAAATGCTCGTAGGAGCGTTTATTTGTGTGTGTGTATGCGTGAGTTTATGTATGAATAAGCCCGAATGAATATTGATGGAATACATGAATGAAAGATATACCAAAGGGGAGGGTGCCAACAGGAAAGGATGCCAAAGGGGAGGGTGCCAACAGGAAAGTGCCAAAGGAGTGGGTGCCAACAGGAAAGGATGCCAAAGGGGGAGGGTGCCAAAAGTGGGCACCAGAGTGGTTTGAAAAATGAAATGAATAAATGGTACGAATTGTGTCTTATGCTTAAACGTCGTAAAGCCAACAGGCAATTAAAGGTCAAACGAGAAGAAATAAAAACAAAATGTTATCAAAGCACAGAAAAAAAAAAAAATATATATATATATATATATATATATATATATATATATATATATATATATATATATATATATATATTATATATGTTCTTAAGGTAGCAAGATTATCGAAGACTTTTATCATCTTGTGGTTAATGTACTTCATGCAGGTCGGCGTTCAATCCCCCTACGACCCCTCTAAGTGCTTGAGCACTATTCCTCCCCCTTCCCCCTGCCATCCTGATCCCAAATCCTTATCCTGATCCCTTCCAAGGGTTATATAGTAGTAATGGCTTGGCACTTTTCCCTCTGATAGTCCCTTTCCCACCTTGTGATTGGCACTGGCGCCAAACGGGGGATTGTTCAACTGTGCACAAAGTTAGAATATATATATGTTAAAAAGGTTTCAGGATAGATAATGTGTGACACACATTAGTAAGTTCAGTAGAACTTCGGTTTCAACCCTTTTACCCTGTCGTAGCTCAGTCAATTAAGGCAGTGTCTGGGATGCTCCCGGACGCAGGTTCGAATCCTCGTCACGGCCCTTGTGGATTTGTTAATTTGTTCAGATAATGTGTGTCTTGATTGAAGGAGCTAAATCGTGTTTTTTCTTCAACAGGCGGCAAGAAGCCGAAGATCGCGAGGCGGACAGACACGCAACCAACCGCCTGATGCTGGGCATGTCCTCTGAAGGATCCGCCAAGGCCCTCTATCCCAGCCCCCAGGACGCCTCCCTCACTCCCTTGCCCTCGGTCCAGATGCAGAACTCCAGCCCTTCGCTACCCGCCGTGTGAGGGCGCTCCCGAAGAGCTCTGCAGGCCACAATAGTTGATGGACCATTCTTCGATGTCTCCGGCAGTCCCTCGAAGTCGCCAGACTTCGAAGTCGCTAGACTTCGAAGCGGTTGACCCCCTCACGCGGTTATTCCTTCTCCCTAATTCCTGTCTCTCCCACAATTTGTCTCAGCTCTAGCAGGGAGGGGGAGGAAAAGGGAGATGGGTTAGGGAAAGTTAGTGTAAAGAAAGAGACATTTAGAGCGGATTTGCTAACTCTCTCAGGTACCTCAATGAGGGAGGGGGAGGGAAAAGAAGGAGGTGAGAGAGAAAGTAAAGGGTGAGGGAGGAGGCATTTTATAGCGAAGTAGCAGGGAATGCGTCCCAGAGAACAACTCTGCCTGAAAAAAGAAAAAGGAGTTCTCACATAAGGTGAAGAAATCTAATGTACAACAGCGCTTCTCCTCCTTGCTTCAAGGACAAGCTTAAGGGGTACCACAGCTCCTCAAGGGGTACCACAGCGCTTCAAGGACAAGAAACTCAACTCCTTGGCATCGGTCGAGACTCAGGTCAAGAAACTTGGAAATATAAATAACAGAACTTTCAAGGAAAACTAAACAAAAGTGGACGTAGAAAGTCATTCACTCTAAAAAAGACAATTAAGTGACTGTTGAGTCATTAAGTGACTGTTCAACTCACAAGACTGTTTAGCGAGTGTGTGTGTGTGTGTAAATATGATTGTTACCAGTATTGCTGTGTTGTCGTGGCAGTCCGTTAAAGCAATTGTAAATCACAATCTTGTAAATCAGTATCAAGGGAAATTAGATTCTTGTAAATCAGAATCTAGGCAAATCAGACTCTAGGTAAATCAGAATCTTGTAAATCAGAATCTTGTAAATCAAAATCTAACTAAATCAGAATCTAAGCAAATCAGAATCTAAGCAAATCAGAATCTAAGCAAATCAGAATCTTGTAAATCAGAATCTTGTAAATCAGAATTTAGATAAATCAGAATCTAAGCAAATCAGAATCTAAGCAATTCAGAATCTTGTAAATCAGAATTTAGATAAATCAGAATCTTGTAAATCAGAATTTAGATAAATCAGAATCTAGGTAAATCAGAATCTTGTAAATCAGAATCTTGGGGACATCACTGAGATGTCAAGGAGGTGACAGCCCATCAGAATAAACTGGGGGGTACAGGATGGTGAAAAAAACTAGGATCATAATTTATTCTGTCATTATGGTGATAGAAAGTTTTAATTATTATTATTTTTTTGTTTAAGTCACTATATCTTTGACTTTGACTTTGACTGTTTGACTTTGACATTCTGTTGCTTAACTGTTCAAGGCTGTTAAAATCTTTTGTATGCCAAGCTTGGCGCTTGGCTCAGCCAGTAGGAGCTGAGGGAATGAATCCTAGCATCTCCTAGGAGGGTGAGAGAGAGAGAGAGAGAGAGAGAGAGAGAGAGAGAGAGAGAGAGAGAGAGAGAGAGAGAGAGAGAGAGAGAGAGAGAGAGAGAGAGAGAGAGAGAGAGAGAGAGAGACCTCTCTCCCATTAGACCTGTGGTTTAAAATATTTAGATGTCTTGTAGTTAGCGGCAGTTATTAGTGTGTGTTACTGAATACCTTTTTTTTAGAGCTCAGGGGCCATGATCTATAGCCCCACTGAACGAAACCTGTATATCTTTCGTCAGGCTTGGCGACTTTGTTTGACCCTTATTATATAATTTTATTAGCTCCGAATCACTAAGAAGTTATTTATAGTAATAATAATATCCTTGGATTGTGAACTTGTCAAGCTCGTAAACCAGTTTAATAAATGCAAACACAGCCGCTAGGATTTCAAGGAAAGATAAACAGGTTTCGTAGGTGGTTCAGGCTCGAGGAATCATGGCTCAGGCCTCTAAATATATTTACATATGAAGTGTCTTTTACCTACAGATCAATAATGCTTAAGTGTGTACGACAAATGCAGGTAAAATACAATAATCTAGATTTTATGATTGAAGGTAAAAATATAATACATCTGTAAATACAATCTGATAGAATAACCTAAAGTATTCAATGTATAAGATGAATCCTAAGAATAAAATCCTACATTTGACTAATTTGACTATATATTTGGGTGGATTTCTGTCTCATGTTGACCAAAATCGGGGGAAAATATATATATATATATATATATATATATATATATATATATATATATATATATATATATATATATATATATATATATATATATATATATATATATATATATATATATATATATATATATATATATATATTATATATATATATGGGGTTGACCACTACTTGGGTTGACCAGAGTTGCTATTGACCATAGTTCTAAAGGGGGATTTTAACCCCTTATGAGGTTAACCCCACATTTATAAATTGGTCACTAATTTGGGTTGATCCCACATAATTGGGATCGAACACCACTATTGAGGTTGACTACAATCAATACATCAAGACTTGGAGCACCTGAGAGATTGTGATTGTTTTGCATACTATTTTACAATCCCCCCCTCCCCCCAATCCCAGTTCTCTGTTGCTGTTGCCACCTTGTAACAATCACTTCGAGGTGATTACGTCCTGGTGATTGGCCATTCTGGCAAAAAATTGCAGCATTTTTATGAGGTTAACGAACGCACCCAAACAACCCACCTAACCTGTCGAGGCGATAATTGCACAGAAAACGGAAAATATTACTGTATTCTAATTTCTAATGAAACGTCGAATTATTATTATTTTTGGTTTAATTTTTGACTGTTTGACCGATTTCTCAAAATAAAAACAGAAAATGCTACATAACAGGTGAGAAAACAGGTCAAACTTGGTTCCTGTTGATATCTGTTGAACTGTTGCAACCCCTCCCTTGTCCCCACCACCCCTTATCACCCCTAAAACCCCCCCTAAACCCCCCAAAAAAACTGAGGATCATCTATAAAATAATTTACAAAAAAAATTCAGCGACAACATAAAATCGTGTATTTAGTCAAAAAACATCGAACTGGGAGTCGAAGTAGGAGTCTGTCTGCCCACCCTGAAGCAGACAGCACCACCTGAGCCGTTGGTTTTTTTCCGAAGTCTGACTAAAGCTTTAATTTATTTATTGAACATTCAGACTATTAGGGGGGTCAAAACTTGTTGTCCCCCCGTTTATATTGACTTAAGAGACACCAGCAGCCCCCCCCCTATTAATGGTAATTAAAATGGGGGTGGGTGGTATTAACGATTCAGTTAAAACATGCATCATAGGTTTTGTTACTGGTTTAAAGAACAGGTATTATGTGGTCATTCCATCGTTCTGTAGTTGGTTTGACGACTCCTAAGAATACCGATATTGACGCTCCTAAGAATACCGAGTTTGACGACTCCTAAGAATACCGGGTTTGACGACTCCTAAGAATACCGAGTTTGACGACTCCTAAGAATACCGAGTTTGACGACTCCTAAGAATACCGGGTTTGACGACTCCTAAGAATACCGGGTTTGACGACTCCTAAGAATACCGGGTTTGACGACTCCTAAGAATACCGGGTTTGACGACTCCTAAGAATACCGAGTTTGACGACTCCTAAGAATACCGGGTTTGACGCTCCTAAGAATACCGAGTTTGACGCCTCCTAAGAATACCGGGTTTGACGACTCCTAAGAATACCGGGTTTGACGACTCCTAAGAATACCGGGTTTGACGACTCCTAAGAATACCGAGATCATGGACGGTATATCTCCAACGGTATACCTCTCAGGTATACCTGTGTAGGGGGGAAGGATGGGTATACCATATCTGCGGTTGAGAGCCATGTATAATAGAACCTCGTGAATAATGAAGATCAAAGAAAGTATATTTGAAAATATTTACCAGAGTTGAGAGAAACTTCATTGTACCACATTGTACCACAATGCTGGATGCTGAGTTTACGGTACAATGTGAACACGACTCCGTGAAGCCCTGTGGTACAATGAGGTCATCTCTCTCTCTGTACGTGGTACGGATTGTTCATCTAGTGTTCCGTTGTTCTTGTTGTTTAAGATTCAGCTACTGGGAACAAATCGTTCCAAGTAGCACGGGCTATGGTGAGCCCGTAGTGGACTTACCTGGCACAGGAGCGGCGCTGTGTGTATGCCGTAGTGTACATGCCCATATGGAAGCGTGTACTTCTGATTGGTTGGTTGATAAAGATTAAGCCAACCAGGAGGTGGCACGGGCATGAATAGCCCCGTATTCTTGTAACCAGCGGGACTAAATATCCGAGTCGCTGGAAGTAGTAACGTGTTGTCTCTAAGACACAACCCCTATGTAGTCCAGGAGCTCTTTACGAAACCCCTTTGCCGAGCACCGAAGGCAAAGGGGGGGGGGGATAGGGAAAAAAATCCTTCCCCCCCCCCCAGGAATTGAAACCACAAGGTTTTGCAATAGTCAACAATTGGAGTTTCGCCACGAAAAAATTTCAGCATTTATCCAGCTTCCCAAAATTGCAGGAATCAATGCAAATGCCCCTGTTGCACCGCGACTTTGCAAAAGGGAAACTGGGGGATCTTCCGGTCCGGAATGGCCGGTATTATCAGTGAAAAGTGATGCCTTCTGCAAGCACTGGAGAAGTTTGTGACGCTTCTACAATACAAGCAGCATATGCTGTACACGAAACATCTCTGAGGATCCTGTGTCCTCACCGCCCCAACTCCAGAGACCCATCCTTACTGGGTACAAAAAAAAAAAAGGTCGTATTGACCAGTGTCAATACCAATTCTTGCTGTCCCTATTAATCACCTTTGGCACCTGATTGATATGGAATTGTTGACCCCTGTGGCAATAAAATGGGTGATTGTATTGTCTTTTAAACACGAAGTTTACGACAGATAGTAAACTCAGCAGCAACTATTACAGTACACCATTGGCAATGATTGCAACTGACTATTCATCTGCCATTGATCACAGACTGTTATCTGTGATCACAGACTGTTATCTGTGATCACAGACTGTTATCTGTGATCACAGACT